GCGGCGGCTGCTGCTGGGGCCGTCCGCCCGCCGCGGCGCCGGGCTGGGCGGACGCGCGGAGCGTCAGCCGCTTGCGTTGAGGGGCGGCTGTGTTTGCCGCGGGGCCCTCCTGTGGCTCCTCCTTTGCCAACGGAGGCTGCTGCTGGGGTTGATTCTGCAGCTCCTCCCCCTGCTGCCGCTCCTGCCGCTGCTGTCGGTCTTGAGCAAGCAGATCCGTCTGCTTCCCCACGGTTGGCTGCTGCGTCTGCTGCTGTTGCTGCTGCTGCTGCTGCTGCTGCTGCTGTGGCGGCAGCGGCTGCTGCTGCTCGACCTGCATTTGGTCGGGCTGGTCGTCCTGGGAAACGTCACGCCCCCCAGCCTTGGCGGGGGCGCTTTGCCCCTGGCCAGGCAGCTTCTCGCCGCCTGCGCCCTCACCAGGCGCGGCAAGCAGGCCGCCCACGCCCCGGGCTAGGGCGTGGGTGTCGCTGCTGGTGTTGCTGCTGCTGCTGGGCTGCTGATCGGACACGTGTGTGAATGTTTGGCAGTCGGCAACCTCAGCGACGCCCATTCCCTGGGGCAGCAGTGCGCCCAGCCGCACTGGAGGACGAACACAGGCGTACGGGCTGCTGCTGTATGTGGTAAACATGCGCGAGGCGGGTGCAGGGAGGGGGGAAGGGGAGCGCAGCAAGTGATGATGGCAGCAGCGCCGTGCTTCCGACTCCGCTGGCGTGGCGGGTGCTCTTCGGTACGCTGCCGCACGCACTCCAAGGCCGAAATACAGACGACTGCGGTGATCCTGTGCGGGCTGGGCTCGGGGAACCCAGCCAGCGAGCCCGGGTGCCACAAAAAGGCCAGTGGGTGCGCACGCCACGCTCAGCACGGACCAAGCAGGTCTAGTGACCGCTGCGAGCGTTGTGATACTGGTCTCTATAGGCATACTGACCCGCTGCAGCGATCACAGGCCGCACAAATGCGTTTGGAGCCCTTTGCCGACGGTCCCCGCCCGCGAAGGTCACCACACGCTTATCAAAGCGGTCATATACAACCATACCGCATAGTGCAACACATGCCACCCATAGCAGGTGAAGACACGCCCTCCTTGCCTCGCACCTTCAGCAGAGCCCCGCGGCCCGGCTGCGCCGCATGCTCCGGGAATCAAAACCCCTCCAAGTTCTGTGTGGTCACTGCAGAGCGCCGATTGGCGGCCACACTCAGATCTGCGCGACAGCTTCGTGCAATGAGGCTTCAGAGCCGTGAGAAGACGTCTAATGGATATAGTTAAAGCTCACTGAAGACTTGAATACGCACCAGCATGACCGCTCCGCGAGGCAGCATGCCTGATGTCAAAACGGCGACGATGCATGTGTTTGACGCAGCCACACCCAGCCGACAATGGACTCATGGCCGTACGTGGCGAAGGTCTGCGCCATGCCCGCGTATCAAATGCGCGCTTCGCTGTGAACCCATGAGCCTCACTAGCCCTAGGTGGCCTGCATATCCTGCACTGGCGCCCAACACACAGTCCACAGTCCACTGACTCACCCTCCCAGCCTGCACCTTTTCTTTGTCCCACGCCTGTTTGTGCAGCAGCATCTGGGGCACTCTCTATTGCTGGCCAGAAGTTGCAAATGCAATGTGCCCGACTAGCACGCTCGCCCAAAGCTCCCAGCCCTGCACGCCACCTTACCCCTCACTCCTGACAGCTCAACATCTCATGCCCGAAATGAGCCTCGTGAGTTGGCATTGCAACCATCCCCACCTCTGCAAGCTATAGACCTCTTATCGCGGCTTGTATCTTAGTGAACATCATTCTTATGCTGCCATAGATGACGGATTGCACAGGCAAGTTCTGGCCAAAACAAACCTTGACGCACTGTTCCAAAAGCTCGTGCGCAGCTGCCAATCCAGCAGAGGGCGGCTCACACAAATGGTTTTCACTTTGCTGTCATGACGGGTGCTTACCGACATGAAGATGAAGTCTGCACAATTGCAGCCTAGCCGCTCGCAGCGGGCCCCGCACTGCTGGTGTCGGGGCCGCCTTTGCTACCGCCGCCGCCGCTGCCGCTTGTTTTCCCCCTCTGCATCTCGTCCAGCACGAGGGTCGCCTCAATCTGTATCTGATTCAGCCGCTTCAACAGAGGGCCCAAGTTCTCGCCGCCGCCTTTGCCGCCGCCGCCGCCACTGCTCCCATCGCCGCTGGGCGCAGCCGTCGGCGTGACCCCAACGCTCCCCTGGCGGATCTGCAGCTCTCGCCGCATCGCGTGGAGCGTGGCGAGCAGCCGCCCGGGCCGCACCACGTCGGGAGCCTCCTGCACCTCCGCGCCCGCTTCGGCGCCGCCGGCGCTCCCAGCCGGCACGGACCCTGGGGGACGTGCCGGGCCGGCGCCGTCCCAGTCCTCGTTGAAGGCCTGGGGGCCGCAAAATGAAAGTCAAAGCGTTGACCGGCGCGATGAAAAGGGGGATGGATAGTGGTCAGGATATGCAGGATATTCAGGTGTGCTGCCCCCCAGCAGTCATGAATGAAGCAAACGCTGTGGTTTTTGCCGTGGCTCTGCTCTTTCGGAGCTCAATAGCCAGCTGCTCGGGGACCCACTGGCCACAAGCCCCGCCACACACATGCATGTTTGCCACAGGTGCACACACCACGCCGATCCCCCCGGTCCACAAGGGCCGACGGCAGCAGACCCACCTTTCTCAGCAGCGCCAGCCGGCGAGGCGGCTCCCCAACCGCCAGCAGCGCCTGCAGGAACGCTGCGCAGCGGCGCGGCAGGTTGCCCCTGTGGAAGCTGAAGAAGCCGCCGTCGTCCGCAGCGGCCACCGCGGCGCTGTCGAGTGCGATGGACTTTGCATCATCCCTTGCCTCCGCCCCGGCGCCGCCGCTGCTGCTGCCGCCGTCGCCGTCGCCGCCTTCCCCCGCCGCCGATGGCGCCGCGGTCTCTTCAGGGCCAGACAGCCGGCCGCCTCGCGCGTCAGCGTCCGCCGGCGGGGCCGTCGCGGGCGCCGCCGCGCGGGCGGCCCTGCCGCCGCCCGTGAATTCGAGCCCGGCCTGCTGCTCCAGGGCGCGGAAGTGCAGGGCCCGCAGCTCCTCCCGCACCAGCACCAGGCGCGCCAGCAGGACGCGGTCCGCGACGACCTGCGGTGGCGATGGTCAATCAGTCGATTGACAGGGCCCCGGCGATCACGCTGCAGACTTTTGGGGCATTGGATTTGAGTGGATTCAAGCATGTGTGTGCCCGCAGACCGCAAAGGCCAGCCCGCACCACCACGTCCAAGCACGAACAATTGGACTCACATAAACAACATACACAAACGCGTAATGCATGCGGGCACTGCACACGCACGCACACACACACACGCACGCACACACACACGCACGCACACACACACACACACACGCACACACACACACACACACACTTGCACACACAACACACAAACACACACACACAGCACCGCAAATGCCTGCACAGCGCATCACCTTACCAGACCACCAATGGCGCCCAGATCAACACTCAGGTACGCCACACATATGCACACACTCTCAGCGCGCCCCCACCTCCTGGTCCTCCATATCGTCGACAAACTGGTTGGCGGTGGCGCTGAGCGACTGCATGTCCGCGCCTGGGACGTCCCCCTCGCCACCGCCCAGCGCGGTGCGCAGGACCTTAAGCCGGGCCGAGATGCCCTCGTGCTGCAGCGCGGCGTCCAGCACGCGCACCGACGGCGGCATGCGGAGGGTCACCTGGGTGTGCCGGGGGTTGCGAGGGAGGGGGGCATAAGGCTGGGCTTGTGCCAGAAGACAGTGGTCTGAACTTCCACCTGTTGTTGATGCTGCCTCTGCACACGACCGTCCAGAGAGGGTGAGCAGGACTGGTTACTGTGCCAGATGTCACGTTTCAGTGCTGAAGCGCGACGCTGTCGCCCCCGGTTGGCGCAAGCTGCATGCTCCCTTCGCTGCTGTGATGAGAGCTGCGCCGCCGGCGGCAACCGCATCCGCGCAACCCACGAGGCCCGCCGCACCTGCCCCAGCACCTCCTTCCGCAGCATCTCCAGCAGCTCGACCAGCTGCCCGTTGCCCATCTTCCCCGCAGCTTCTGTGTAGGCGCCGACCGCCGCCAGGAAATCAGAGTCGAGCCACTCGAGCCGCCGTGTAACCGCGCCGCGGACCGCATCGGCGAGCGCGACGTCGGGGTCCTCGCTGTAGATGTAGGCGGTGGCCTCGGATACGAAGACCTCGTGGCTGACCTCCTCCACGATCTCATCCAAGGTAGCGGCCGCGCGCTCGACGCCGCGGATCAGGGCGGCGCGCTCCTCTTCGGTGATTTCTGGCTCGGCTGCGGCGGCGCGGGGCAGCGTTCGCCGGCCGCGGAGGCGGCGCTTGGCGACGCTGTATGATGCAGTTGCTGCTGTTGTCAAGTTGCATGCGATCGAACGAGGGGAGGCCACCAGGGGCCCGGGGCCGGCGGCAGGACGGGCTCGGCACCTTGAGCGCCGATCGCGGCGGCCCGCAGCGGCGAGCGTTGCCGCCGCCGCCGGCGCCGCTTGAAGGGCGGCTGGTCGTGTATGTAAGACTTGCATGGTCGCTCTTATCCAACAAAAACACGGCTAGAGCTTCAGCGTGTGCGTGAGCGCGCGGATCCTCTCAAAGCAACGTTCAGTATCATATACTACAAAGCTCGGCCTCAACATAACTATAGGCTCTTCTTCTCATATACAGTATATTTAGCGCACCCATCAAAACCACTACAAAGCGTGATCTTGCAACCATGTCCGATCTTTCGCCAGCACACGGCAGCTCGTCAGAAGCAGAGCTCAAGGAGGCCAAATTTGTGGGCACGCTGCATGCTATCGACGACTACCTTGCCGCGTGCACTCAGCTGACAGCCGCGCTCAAGGGCGGATGGTTCAGCCTGGCACGGGCCAAATACGCAGGGGCGCCGGGCGCCAGTCTAGGGCAGGCGGCGTATCCAGGGGACATGCGGGCTAGTGCAGTGGTCAGCGTGGTCGAGCCCTCAGATCCAGACGACCTTTTTGACCGATTCGAGCTGCAGCGGGCAGCAGACGGCCCCAGCGTCAGCAGCGACGCCGGGGCGGCACCAGAGACCAGCGGCGGCGGCCGCGACCGCGGCAGAGACGCGGCAGCTGACCGCAGCAACGCCAGCGAAGCGGCGGCGGCGGACGGGCAGGTGCCTGCAGCCGGCCCCTCCGCCACAGGCAGCGGCAGGGGCTCAAAAGCAGCCGCTGACCCCCTGCAATGGTTCGGCGGCGGGCTGCCTCCTGCAGACCTGCGGCAGGCTCAGCGCGACTTCCAGGGCGCCCTGGCTGCGGCGGTCGCGGCGGCCAACCAGCTGCAGCGGCTACGGGGCCTCGCGGACGCTCTGCTGGACGGCGGGTCCACCGCGGGCAGCGCGGACGAGGCGGAAGGCGCGGCCGAGCAGCCGGCGGCGCGCGGTGGCGGTCGGGTGTTGCTTCGCGGGGCGCTGTTGCAGCCGTAACATGAGCTGGGTGACGCTGGACTGCTTGAGTGTCGTCGCGTCATGAGTGGGTGGTCGCGCCCCGGACATCTCCATTACCGGGCGGCTTCAACTACTTTGATGGTGGGTGTCATAAAAGCACGGGTTTCCATTTTTTTCCTCAACAGGCGCTTTCTTGTTCTGCCACTCCTGCCGTGTGGTTTGCATGTCATTTTTGTGCCTCGCTGCTGTTTGCAACACCGATCCTTGGTGAGGATTGGATCGCAGCACCCAAAACGCAGCATGGACTTGCAGCCAGCAGGTAAATCCTCATATGCATTCCCCATCATCATTACATTACATTACATTACATCACGCTTTTCCAGCAGCGAGGGGAAAAACCCTGGCTCCCCAAAGGGGTAACGCCCCTAACCGTAAAGGCCAGAGGAGAAAGCGGGTGCGGCCAAGTCGGGAATTAGTACGAGGGCGCACGCCTCCTTGGCAGGAGATGTAAGCAAGCCTTCTTCCAAGCGGGGCGGTCAGAGCAGCGGTCGTCCTGAATCATCAACCAAAAATATCAACAGCATGCAGCCCCCCTCTCGAAAGGGATATCCCTTTCGAGGCATCGATGCCTACAGCAGCATCAAGGACCTACCAACAGAAAACGCTTGTGCCCTGCCCGCCTGTGTGCTTGTCCTACCGCAAGTCTACTATTGGCCAGGCCAGCGGGGGCACTGGCAATCGCACCTCTTGGCCTTGGCGCTGCAGGCTGCTGGTGGGAGGGCCGCCCGCTTCCGATGCACGGCTTGTAGGCCGGGGTGATTCACTTTGGCTTGCTCCTGGAGAGATGGCCTGGCTAAGGTACTGTGGCCAGCGTGGAAACGGGTGGGCTGTGTGCAGGGTACCTAGTGCCTCCAGTGGCCGCCCCTCCCTGCAGCAAAGCGTGCCTATTGCGATGGTGGGGTCTGCGCTTGACACTCGCCACTGCGCTTGGCCCCTGCCACGTTGCACCCACACGGGGGCCTCCCCAACAGGCGGCGTCACCAAGGCCGCCTTGTTAGTTGGACCGCGTGGTGGTGTGGTCATCTGAGGACGGTGCAGCGCCCTGCTACAAAGTGTGAGAGGTGCAATCATCACCACGACAAGATGATTTTTATGCAGACAGCCATGCACGCACGGCAGTACGTTGCGTGTATCCGGAAAGATGTAGTGTCAGAATTCTATTCGTAACCAGATATAGACTGCCCACGCGCTCCACTGGCGGTGAAACCGTGGTGACACCATTCGCTTGTCGGTGACAATCCGCGCATGTTCCGCACCTGTTCCGCGTCGATTATACTTGAAGCACGTCGCATTCCTCTTGTCGCTCGATTCATCTAAGCTATCTCCTCTCTTGCCACCTATTGAACGTGATCTACCTGCTAATCGTCATCTGTGCCCCCAACAACCTACGGTGCGCGCACCAGACAGCTCAGAACGTCGTCCCTCCGTCAATGAACGATCAGTGAACAAGTCGTGTACACCACCCCCTGTTGACCTGCGGCGCGCACGCCGATCATCGCGCTGATTGCGAGCCATGGCTCCTGCCACGCTTCTTGCCGCCGCCCGCCGCAGGATCAGCCATGGCCTCAGCCAGCGACCTGCAGCCCCTGCCGGCGTCGCTCGGAGTGACAAGCATAATCCTGAAGCAGTGCGCCGGGGATGGTGGTGGCGCCCCACGTGGTGTTTTTGGGCAGCGAATCGTCCCTGACTCATCTGCTCCCCGGGAACGACGCGTGTGCGCAGCCAGCGGCCCGGCATATCCACCTCGCCGCTGCATCAACCGATAGCAAGCTTCTGACATGTGCACTCGCACCCGCGGCTTCCCAACAGCTATGTCGACACCGGCATCGTCCCGGAGGACGCCTTTGGTGTGGAGCAGTCGACCATCGACGCGGGCGCCCTGCCCGAGGGCGGCGTGCTGGTGGAGGTCCTGTACCTGAGTGTTGACCCCTGTGAGTGGGCGGCTGCTGCATGGCGTGTACCTGGCTCACCCCAGGAAATCTTGCTTGCTTGATGTATTTGTGTGCGTGTGTGTGCGTGAGTGTGAGAGAGAAAGAAAGAGGGAGTATGTGTAGGGGGGGATGGTGCGCGCGCGCATTGCGCACCAAAACAGGGCAGGAGATGACATGCAAGGGCAGCGCAAACTGCCTGTGACACATCTGTCAGTGACCTCTAGAGTGTCACTCCTGCTCGGTTCTCAACGCTCCGCACGCTGACGCCCCCCCCCCCACCGTCGCGCCGGCCCCATTGCATTCCTCTCCCTTGAAAGACATGAGGTGAGGGCTGCGAACGCGCCTGCCTCTGCCCTCAGGCCACTGACGCCCCGCCCCTCTGCCTGCCTTAGCAGTGCACCCTTTTGGTAACAAGCTCTGCCTCGGAAATGCACTGGTGGGTTCTGCCCTTGGTCTTCCCTGCCCAGCGCCATTACGCGCCGCGCCCTTTACCCCCACTCCCTCCACCCTGACCCCGCCCAGGGCCATCATGCGGGAGACCAAGGGCCACTATGCCGCTTCCTTTGAGGTCGGCAAGCCGCTCTCAGGCGGCGCGGTCGCACTGGTCAGGGCCTCCAAGGCTGAAGGTGAGCGGGTGCAGGGACATCGAGCACGCCGCCGTCGCTCGTCCGGATTTGTCATCCTGCAATGCATTTGGTGCAAAGTGGTTTGAGATGTATACACCAATACAAAGACGCATCGCTCTGACCAGCATGCCGCTTCTACTCAACCAATTATTTGGCCGCTTTCCTGCGCAATCCCAATGCAGGCTTCGCCCCTGGCGACGCCATCGTGGGCCGCGGCGCCCCTTGGTCGACCTTTGCCGTCCTCGACGCCAAGGTCCTGCAGGGGTTCAAGGTCATCCCCAAGCAGCTGCTCGGGAAGCTGCCCGTATCCTACTTCCTGGGCACCCTGGGTGCGCATTTTAGCCCCACTATGCAGCACGGCCCCGCCCCGCCCCCGCCCGCTCGGGGCCGCGCGCGCCCGCGGAGAGTGCATGCAGTGTTGTCCAAGCAATGATGTTTGGGTTGAGTACAATCCTGGCAGGTCGTGCTTCCAGACGCGGTACGATGTACCGTGATATTCGCATCAGCGTGGTGATGATGTGCCGTGCACACCCTGTTGACCCTGTTGACCAGGCATGCCTGGCCTGACGGCCTACAGCAGCATCAAGAAGATTGCAGAGCCGAAGAAGGGCGAGACGGCCTTCATCAGCGCGGCATCGGGCGCCGTGGGCCAGGTGCGGCGCGACATCGGGCTGCCGAGGACGCTGGGGCTGGGGATGGGGG